CGGGCGCCTGGGTCTCTCAGTCGGTTAAGCATCTGACTCAGTTTCAGCTCAAGTCATGATCTCAGGGTCCTGGGATGGATCCCTACAGCAGGCTCCACGTTCAGCTCAGAGCCTGCTTGAGATTCTCTCTCTCTCTCTCTCTCTTTCTAAATAAATAAATAAATCTTAAGGAAAAAAGAATTCTATACCCCATAGGGAAGAATTATGTCTTCCTAAACTCTCCTATTATCAAACATCCCGTGTGAAACTTCTCTCTCTCCTACAGAGCTGCTCCAGAGTTTACTTAAGTTCAACGTGATGTCCGCTTCTGCCTCTCCTCAACTGCTCTCAGATTTTATAGTCCCAGGGCCATGGAAGGCCAGCACCTGGGCACAGTGGTGTCTGTGACAAGCAGAGCTAAAGGCAGCAAAGGCAGGCAGGGCTGGTCCCGGTGAGGTGCCTGAGGCCCCACGTCTGGAGAGGCACCCACTTGAGGAGCTTTTGGGGTATAATGGTAAGTAGTGGGGCCTAAGGAAGAAGAAGCCACGGGGCAGGTTCTCAATATTCACCCCATCTGCCCCATTGTGCTGCCAGCCTCTGGAGAAAGAAGGGCATTCATTATATGCTCTTGTCTGGGTGACTTCATGGGGGTGACTTCTCCCGCTTGAAGTTTCTTCTTCTCTAGATAAAGGGATGCTATGCAGCTCCCAACATGGACGTGAGGAATAAATAACAATTTCTCGTGAACAGGTCTGACATACTCCTACTTATGAATCTCAGAGTTTCCTGTTCTGGAACCTTCTTCCTTCAAGCATCATCATGGCTCCCTCCCCCTTCTCCTTTGAGTTCTCACTCTACTCACTCTTTGCCATTGAAGCTTCCAAGACAAACTCACCAATCTCTCCAATTAAAAAGCCAAATGATCTCCCCTCCCTCCCTTGGCGGCCCTTACCCTTTCCTCTGCTTTATTTTTTCTCCCCAGCCCCATGTATTTCGTTCATTCATTTTTATCCAAATGAATTCCGGAATCCGGGTTGTTTTAAGGTACCAAATAACCTGAAGGAACTCCTTGAAGTTGGAAGAGAGCCAGCCTTGCCAGCCAGAAGACCCGGATTCTGTATGAGTCTGCTCTGGCCGCCATCACAAAATACCACAGACTGAGTGGCTCAAGCAGTGGAAATTCATTTCCTCACAGGCTGGAGGTGAGAAGTCCAAGATCAAGGTGTCAGAAAGTTTGAGATCTTCTGCAGCCTCTGTCCTCGGCTTGCAGATGGCTGCCTCCCTGGTGTATCTTCACATGGCCTTCCCACTGCCTATCTGTGCTCCCGTCCTTTTCTTATAAGAACACCAGTCATTTGATTAGGGCCCACTCTAATGACCTCCTCTAACTTAATTATCTCTTGGCCCTCACATGCAGAAGTACAGGAAGCTACCAGTTCAACCTACGCATTTGGGGGAGGGGGGTCCTCATGCAGCCCATAATGGGTTTGCTGTGTGAGCTCTGTGACTGGGTTGAATCCCCCTACTTCTCTGGCCTCTGTCTCCTCCTGATTTTGAAAATGAAGTCTGTGGCTCTTGTTCCTGCTGCTGACAACAAGTAGCCTGCTTGCTGGCTCTCCTGTGAAGATCTCCTCGCATCCAACCACAACCAGAAATTAGGGAATAAACAACGGCAGAAACTGAAGGCAGACTGTCATCAGAATTACCGTAGTTGTTTATAACCCTGTATGCAGATAGTAGAGAGGGGGATAAAGTGGGAGTCTGTCCCATGTTCAGAGGAGACAGGTGGATGTAGAGCATACAGTGGGAGGCAAGCAGGGTAAGGGGGAGAAAGAGCGAACGTCAGTGCTCTTTCTGATTACATCAGAAACTGTAATCTCACGGAATCCTCGCGCTGACCCCACGAGTGGATGTTGTTATTAATTTTTCCTCCATGCTATAGGTGAGGACACAGAGACTCAGAATGCAGAACTGGGCTTGGTTATTTCAGTCTACCTGGAAGTCAGATAACCCCCACGAGTCACTCTGCCCCCAGCGATGGTTAAACGTGCTGAGCTACTCCCCTCACCTCCCACCTTCCTGCCCAGCCACAGCTGCTGCAGGTGAAAAGAAAATGAAGCTCCCGTCAGTTTCTGGTAGTTCTAGAGAAAGGATAAGACCAGTTCTGTGTGTATTGTCACTGCTGCTGTTTTAGTGAATGGTAAATGTTCTTTGAAGAAATATCAAGAGCCATAAAAAGACACAAAGAAGAAAGTTCTAGAAAAAGCAAAACTAATCTACAGTGACAGGAAGCAGATCAGTGGTTGCTTGAGGGGAGGAGGGATAACTGCAAAGGGGCTAGGAACCTTTGAGGGTAGATGTAAATGTTCTGTATCTTGATTGTGGTTGTTATACTTGTGTGTACTGCTATCAAAACCCATCAACCTGTACACTTAAAACAGGTAATTTTATTGTATGCAAATTATACCTCAATAAAGTTGATCTTATTTTATTTTTTTTTAAGATTTTATCTATTTGTTTGATGGAGAGAGAGAGATCACAAGTAGGCAGAGAGACAGGCAGAGAGAGAGAGAGAGGGAAGCAGATTCCCTGTTAAGCAGAAACTCCCACCCCCCCCGAAATGTGGGGCTTGATCCCAGGACCCTGGGATCATGACCTGAGAAGAGGCAGAAGCTTTAACCCACTGAGTCAACCAGGTGCTCCAAGATGTTTCCATTTTTTTGCTGTTATAAACACTACCATGGATATCCTTGTAACGAAGTGAGCACATTCTTAACTATTGCCATAGAGTAAATTTCAACCAGTAAAATTACTGAGTCAAAGAGGTTCATATTTTTTAAGGAATTTGATATATCTTTCAAAGGTGCCCTTCCTAAAAGCAATACCAATTAACGCCCCCACCAGCCATCTCTTGGTCTTCACTCTAGACCAGTCAGCATTGTGGATCTCTGTGGAAACAAATACAAGGAAGATGGCACCAATGGCATATCCTAAAATCCCAAACTTTCGAAGTAACTGAAATCTTACAGAGTCAGTGTTTCAGCCTTAACCTTAACCGAACTCAAGAGCCATGAAGGTTCTGGGGTCTGAGATCACCAGGCTCAGTTAGGAGCACACCAGGGACTCGAACTCAGGATGGAAACCACCACATGATTTGCTGAAGGAACAGGGAATCAGGAAAGGGATCAGGAAAGAACTCACATCAACCCCAGGCTCACATGTTTTCTAACTCCTATGCTCACTTGTCCATTGGCACCAAACCTTGCTCCGGAACAGTCCCCTGGGGATCCTGGAATTTGCACATATCGTTGTGATGATCAGCAAAACTCCAGTTGGTTCCACCTTCTTCCCATCTTCCCATCTCTGCTGCTTGTGGCCTTGAGATGGTTCTTAGCCTCTCTGAGGATCGGTTTTCTCAACAGAAACGTGGAGTTGGTCATTGTACCTACCTCATGGAGTTTTATGAAGATGACAAATAAAACAGTCAAATTCATTAGCAAGGCTGCCCATCCTAAGGAGGTGCTGATACATGCTAAGCATTTTTCTTCCTTGTTGGCCCCTCAGACCGGCCTCAGGCAGCAGAGAGGCCTGAGAGGAACAACTTCCCACCCTTGGGATTCTGCCCCAGAATTCATAGCGGTGCCTCTACAAAGGGCCAGCCCGCCCGACACCCCGCTCCTTTTAGATCTGCCTAATGCCATCAATAAACTAGAAGAAACCTCATTCTTGGGGGAGGCCTGCCCATCCCTCATGCCTCCAGGACCACGCCTGGCAAATATAGAAGAAATTACAGGCATCTGATTTCAGGCTACGTGTGTACACTTTGTCAGAGCCAAGCCCCAATCCCTAGGTCTGCTGCTGCATCAAAAGACCATCTCTCCTCCAGGCTCCAGGCCCAGAGTAAGCAGCAATTTGGGAGGCAGCCCCCTCTTATTTTTAGCCTTAAAAACCCAAAAGCCAACATACCAGCACTCACCCGAGAGTCTCTCGCAAGCTGTTGTTTGATTTGGGTTGAGAAAATGACAGACTGAGTTCTGCACCAAGAACAGAAGGAAAAAAAGAGGGGAAAAAGGGAGTTTTATTTTCCCTCCCCTGCCAACCTCCATCCCCCTCAACTCCTCCCTTAGGCCTGGGTGGACCCTGCCTGGGTAATCGTCCCCTGCTATATTTAAAAACCACAGATGTGTTGGTGGAGACTTAATTTCGGAATTGCAGGCGGCGTCTCCTGAGGACAAGGGGAAAGCCGGTGCTGCGCGCCCGCCCGCCCGCCAGGCCGCCCTCCCCGCCCGCCGCCCGGAGCCCCGGACTCGGCGGAATCCAGGTCAGGACGCGCCGCCGTCTCGGGACCGCCGCCGGCCGGGAGGAGCCCGGCGCCGGGCTCCGGCCGTTGGGTGGGTGGGTGGGTGGCCGCGGGCGAGGGCTCCCGCCCTCATTGGATCCCCCAGGGCCCCGGGGGGCCGCGAGGCGCAGGTCCGCTTCCCCGCGGCTGTTCGGGACGCTATCTGAAAATCCCCCCTCGGCGCGCGAGGATAAATATGCGCGGCTTGTCATTCGGCGCGGCTCTCTGGCTCCCAGCTGATAGGGTGACGTTCGGTTGGGAGGCTTGGAGATTGGCTTTTTGATTTGGCTTCTTGCTGCAGCTTAATGGGCAAAGCTCGCGGCTCGCCCAGAAACCAGCCCCTCCGCGCGTCCCCTCCGCGCGGCGAGGCCGACACGTCCCCCGCGGTGACGGCGTGCCAGGCGGAGAGTCGGCGCGCGCCCAGCCCCGGGAAAGCCCCGGCGACGCGGCCGCGAGCCGGGGTCCCTCCGAGCCGCCAGGGCGCGCCGGGCCGCCCGCCTTCCTGCCCCTCCCGGCAGGGATCCCCCAGCTGCCGGCGGCCGGGACTCCGGGCCTCCCCGGGCTCAACCCCGAGCCCGCGCCCCGGCCCGGGCTCCTCCGGGGGTCCTCGGGAGGGTCTCCCCGCTCCTCCCTAGGCCCCCTGCCCCAGCCCGCGCGCCCCCCCCACCACCCCGGAAGCCTGCGAGCCCACGAGCCCCGCAGGCGGTGGCTGCTGCCGACTGACATGCCCCGGACGCGGCTGCGGCCGGCGGGCAGCCCGCGGGGGCGATGAGCCGCTGCGGCCGCTGAGCAGCCGGGCGGCGGGGCGTCGCGCACCTTCTTCTCCCCCCTCACTTGGCCGCTCCGCTCGGGAGACCGGGAGGAAACGGTGAGTAATGGGGTGAGCCTCCTGCCCTTCCCCCTCAGCGGGAGGCCGAGGCTGGGGGCTTGGGACGCCCCCCGGAGGGTTCCCGCTTGTGAATGCCGGTGTTAAGTTATTTCTCGAAATCATTCATACCGGCTGCCTTCCCTCGGGTTTAGTGCCTCAAGAGGTGGGGGGAGGGTGCCTCGGAAAGTGAACGTTTTGTCTGCGGAGCTGGGGGGGGCATGGTGGAAGAGTGTCGGGGGGGTCGGGGGGGCGCAGAACGAGACACCGGGGCGTGTGTGTGTGTGCTCTCGGGCGGCGGGTGCGCCCCGGGGACACGGAACGCTGCGGCGCGGGCCGGCTGCATGTGTGCCTGTGTGCTGGCGGTGCCCGGCCGTGCGGCGCTCCCGGGGCTCTGAGTGCCCGCGGGGGTCGGGGGCTAGGAGCGGAGCGCGTTACCCCGCGGCGCGCGCCCGCGTGCACACACGCACGCGCGCGCCCAGCCTCGGGACTCCGCGGCGGCGGGTCGGGAACTGCAGCCCCGGCGCACCGGCCGGCCGCGGCCAAGAGGGCGGGGAGAGAGGGAGGGTTGCTCGGGTCCCGGGCGCTCCGGACCGCGGGGGTCTGGGCGGGCCGCGGCCAGGTGGGGAGAAGGGAGGTGTGTTAACTACCCACTCCCGCCACCCTCCCCGAGACACACACACACACACACACACACGCACGCACGCACGCACCCAGAGGCCCTCCTTCGGAGGCTAGTGCTGCTCTGCAGACCCTGCCGCACCTGCCCCGAGGACCCAAGCCACTGGGAGAGATGAAGAAAGCGATTTGCTCCGGGCGGAGAAAGCAGTTTTTCGTTTTTATTCACTGAGTTTTATTTTTAACCGGGGAGGGAGTGCGGGGGGACGGGCGGTGGTTAAATAGAACAAATGCCTTTAATGCAGTGCCATAAATTTACCCGCCTGCTGCCCGCCTCCCTCCCTCCCCTCCCTCCCTCCTCTCCCTCCCTCCTTCCTCCCTCCCTCCCTCTCCCCCCTCCCTCCGTCACTCACTCACTCACTCACTCATTCACTCATCTTTTATGGCGACTAAAAAACCCTGCCCGTTTGCTGGTTCAATCTCCCGGGCAGAGGCTGAAATTGGGGCAGGTTCTCAGAAAGGCAGGCTGCCGCGGGCAGCGAGACTCCGAGCTCCCGGGTGGTCGAGAAACACCCCGAGCCGAGGGAGTTGTGGGTACGTGATGGGCACGCAGCGGGCCTACCGGTGTGGCACCGAAAGGGAAGCCTCCGGGCCTCTGCCGACCCGGTGACTTGCAGCCGCCTGTGATTAATCTCCCACAGCTGTTGTGCCCCATCCACTGGAGCTGAGCTCTTGTTTACCTCAATTTTCAAATATAGCTTCTGCGCCATGCTCTTCCTGAGATGGGGGATCCGTGCGCTCTACAGGGCCGCCGGCCTCCTGCTGGCCCTTCTTTTTAGCGGGCTCGCAAGTTTGAGAGGAACCTGCCTTTTCATGCGGTGCGGTGCCTCACCTGGAGACGGCGGCTGCCAGAGCTGCTTGGTGTGGGCTGATCACCCCAGCTTCTCATCGCTGCCTACAATTCCTGCCCGAGGTCCCCACACACGTGTCCACTCCCTAGCCCCTTTCTTTAAATAAAATATGGATATTGGGTTGAGAAGAAGCAGATGGAGCCTACAGAACTGAACTTGAAGTTGTTCTTGGACTTAATGGAGATGGAAAGGCTACTCATGCTGTTTTCTGTACTTGGGATGCTTTCTTGTTCTTCCGACACCCCTAAACTCCAACTCCTTTCTTGTCTAATGTACTCCTAGTCTCCCTCCAGCTCCTAGGTCATTGGTTACTTCCTCAAGGATGCCTTCCATACCATCTCTGACCCGGCCAGAACGTCTGTACACTCATAACCTGAACCTGTTATTTTGAAGTAATTTAAAGAGGCACATTCAGTTTCCTTGTGTGGTGGAGTAAATGCTAGTCACACCTCTAGACAGTAAGCTGCAGGAAGGGAGGGAACATAACTGCTGTTTATTCATGGTGTATCTGCAGGGCCTAGCACTGTGCCTGGCATAGAGTAGGCAGTCAGTAAATGCTGGGTGGAGAATGAACTCCAAGGGCCAAGGTAGCTCTCCTCTCTGCTCCTGCCCCTCTGCTGTCCTCTTTGGCATCTCTTCTGTATGACCTCCTGGTCACAGAAAAGAAAATGGGGTTATCAAACTGACCCTTTAAAAAAACATTTCCTTCTTCAGGCTCCTTCCTGGGCTGGAACCCTGAAGTTGAGGGAGTAGGCTCTTGCCCCATCCCTGCCCCGTCCCTGTGCCAGGCGGCCCCCTGTACAGTTTCTGGGCAGAGTTGCCAGGATTGTCCATGGGGTCGTGATGGGGGGCATTGTTCCTTGGCCTGCATGGTCCAGTCACTGCTCCCATTCTGGATCTGGGGGAACGTGTCCCGCATCTTGGCCTCTCTTTAAAGTTACCAAAGTCAGGTAAGAAGAGAGGGGTGACCCCCTTTTCACTCAGTCTGGTTGTTTTGCCCAGAGGCTCAACTGTTTGGTGAGGCTCAGCCATATATTGGACTCTAAAAGAAAAAGCATTCACTTATTCATTCAATCAGCTATTTATTCAATAAATATTCAACAACAGCCTGCTCTGCCAGGCATCTGCCAGGTACGGAGGCAAATAAAACAGAACGGTCCTTTTCCTTATAAACATACATTCATTCCTGCAGGAATAATCAGCTAGTGACTCCTTTCAGTGGAGGGTAGATCCTGGGTACAGTGGAAGCATGTAGGGAGATCACCTCTCCACAGAGCCTTCACGAGGAATTCTAGGGACATCGAATCCCAGAAAGAGAGGTTGGGTAGGGGTTGGCTTTGGTGAAAGCAGAGAGAAAATGTTAGGACCGAAGGGCTCCACATGCAAAGGCCTAAGGTGCATAAGGCCAGTGACTGAAGACAGAGGGTACAGTTCCGGGAGAGGAGTTTGGAGGACTTTAAAAAAAAAATTTTTTTTTTAAATTTTAATTTTGTATTAACATATAATGTATTATTAGCCCCAGGGGTACAGGTCTGTGACTTGCCAGATTTACACACTTCACAGCACTCACCATAGCACATACCCTCCCCAATGTCCGTAACCTAACCACCCTCTCCCTACCCCCCGCCCCCTGGCAACCCTCAATTTGTTTTGTGGGATTAAGAGTCTCTTATAGTTTGTCTCCCTCCTGATCCCATCTTGTTTCATTTTTTCCTTCCCTACCCCCTAACCCCGCCATGTTGCCTCTCAAATTCCTCATATCAGGGAGATCATATGATAATTGTCTTTCTCTGATTGACTTAGTTCGCTCAGCATAATACCCTCTAGTTTCAGCCACACCATTGCAAATGGCAGGATTTCTTTTTTGATGGCTGCATAGTATTCCATTGTATCTGTGTGTGTGTGTGTGTGTGTGTGTGTGTGTGTGTGTGTATACACCACATCTTCTTTATCCATTCATCTGTTGGTGGACATCTAGGTTCTTTCCATAGCTTGGCTATTATGGACATTGCTGCTATAAACATTCAGGTGCACGTGCCCCTTCGGATCACTACATTTGCATCTTTAGGTTAAATACCCAGTAGTGCAATTGCTGGGTTGTAGGGTAGCTCTATTTTCAACTTTTTGAGGAACCTCCATGCTGTTTTCCAGAGTGTTTGCACCACCTTGCATTCCCGCCAACAGTGTAGGACGGTTCTTTAGGGACCAAATCTTGAAGGGCTTGTACTCCATGCTAAGGATTTTTGCTGTTGCCAGTAGGGGCTTAGGAAGGTTGTTGGCACTGAAGTGCACAGTCAGGTTTGCATTTGAGAAGGTATGTTGAGACTGGACTATAGGGAGAGAGACAGAGGTGCGGAGACGGAAGTCTGTGGGAGAAGCCCAAGGCATCCTTTGGGTGGCCTGTAAGGGAGGGGTACGGGTTCCTCTTTCTGTTTTAGCATATAAACCAGAGCTGCTCCTCTAGAAAGATGTTCCACCACTTTCTTTGATGAGATTGGCTTGGGTTTGGTTGTCTGTGTTTTGAATGGGCACTCTAAACCCAACACCAGACAGGGTGCCTCAGGGAAAAGGAAAAGTGACTCCTGCAGGTGTAACACAGGCCTCCTGGCCTACTGAGCTGCAGAGCAGGGTGAACCCCTAAAGATCGGAGATCTCTGAGGACTGGGGATGGTCTCAAGAAGGAGCCTGGAAGAGTAAAAATGGAGTTAGATTCATATTTGGATCCTTAGAGACTATTGAACAAGATGTTTAGATAGGAAGAATCACATGAGTTTGTATATGTCTATGTGTAGTTTTTGATACTATGGAGAGTGAATAAAGGTTACTTCCAGAATCAAATGTATTTGGATATGGTCTACAGAATCATGTCTATGAAGGCAACAGTTCTAGTTCATCCTGGATGAAATTTACTGCTTTGATACTTGAAATGACAAGTAATGCTTTCCTGGTTGTGCGGCAGGAGTGCTGGGGCATGTGGGGCCTGGATGTGGATGTGGGACTGGGAACTGGGACTGGGAACTGGGGTCCTGCCCTGGCTTCCCTGCGGTAATTTCCTAATCACTTGAGAGGAGAGGACCTCAGGGTCATGCACAGCTATGCTCGTCCTCGAGAATGAAGCCAAATAGCATGCACTTGGTCAATGTTCTTCCTTTGCACCCCGACCTCCCCACTTGGCTCCTTCTGCTTCCCTGGCCCTGGTTTCAGAGTAAGAAAGAGCTCCCTTCCCCTCCTGCACGGGGCCCAGGAGCCAGCCCTGCTCTGCCTTCACAGCCCGTCTTGCACGCTTTCTTCTCCAGCCCTGGGTCCCCTCCCTCCAAATGTAGGCATGGTCAGCAGGCCCTGGCTTTTGTCCAACTCCTACCCCTTCACGTTCCCTTTCCATGCAGCTTTCACCAGCTCTTGAACTTTTAGAGTAAACCACTGTCTTCGCTTTGTCACCACTGGTTTCTTTGTTTAGCCCCATGCTTTCCCACT